TTGCAGAAGTGGTGAACAATGGCACCGCAAAACATTGTCCTTCTCCTAATTCTATGGACTTTCACTGATCATACCTTGTGAGTGCAGGAGACAGCATGTCGTTCTTACCACTCAACAACATGGGGATGCAAGTGGATATATGCATGTAGAAATAATCATCCAGTAATCTTTTTTTTTTTCATTCCCTCACTCTCCCCATTTTTTTCCTTTTACCTCAGTATCAAAGGAGTCCCCTTTGCCGCCAACAGGGAATTAGCTGTGGGGTTTGGTGGGAGAACACGATACGCATTGTGTTATTATAAATGACATCACAACTAGCTAGATATTTTAATTGAAGTTAAATAACCAACATTATTGCCATTTAAGTGATAGCAATAATATGCAGTAATAGCACCACTGAGGGATCCGTTGCTATTATCCTGATAAGCCATAAACCATTCAGCGATTTATAATACTTTTTTAATGTTCAATGCTGTGAGGTGCTAAGTATCCTCAGCTCCTATTGAAGTCATTGGGAAATATAGGTTGCACAGGAGGTGCTCAGCTCCTTGCAGGATTGTGCACGTCAGGATAAAACTCATTATACCAATTATCAGCCTTATACAAACTAAGTCTAAACAATGTTTTGGATTTTAGAGACATTTAGAGAGCGTGTGTCCAGGAAAAAATTGAAAGATTAACTAAGCCACTTTTTAATGTTCTTAAGTAAGAATTGCATGATTTTCAAAAGCTATAGACCACAACGTCTTGTGTACAGACAGTATTTACTGTGTGTCTATATGGCTTCTTTGCTGTTTAAAAAAAAGTAAATGGGTTAAATTATTTAACTGTTACTGCACAGTATGTGCATAAATGTGAGTTTTTTTAATATTCTATATATGCTGCAAATATTTTCAATAGTATGTTGCAATCCAATCCAGCAATTGGTTCAAAGGCATAGTATTTTGTACAACAGACCTGTGTATTCAGTATGATCTCAGTGGAAATGTCTCATTATTTCTGTCCTTGATGTTCCTTGACACTGTATCAGGTCCTGAAGAGCCATGACCCAGACACACTGTCAATGCAAAGAGTTTATTTTTCTCTTGGAGTGAATCATATGTTCACATATTCAGAAATATGCAGCCAGATTCTGTTTGCTTTGCTCACGAGAGCAGTCTCACTGATTTAAATAGCTCCATTCACAAGGGGAAGATTAGCCAGTAACAATGTTTTCATTTTTAACTTGTTTTTATATTAAAAGCAAAAGAAACTGTTATAGTTAGTATTACTGATCTGACTTGAACCTAGACAGTCTCAGGCTATGTCTACACTACAGAGGTTTTTTTTTTGGAAAATCAGCTGTTTTTCCAAATAAACTTCACTTACATCCACACTGCAATCATGTTCTTTAAAAAAATTTTTTGAAAGAACAGAGGGTTTTTCCGACATTGGTAAACCTCTTTCTACAAGGAAGAAGCCTTTTTCCAAAAGAGCTCTTTCAGAAAGGCTACGTCTACATTGGCCCCTTTTCCAAAAGGGGCATGCTAATTTTCAACTTCAGAATAGGGAAATCCGCGGGGGATTTAAATATCCCCCGCGGGATTTAAATAAAGATGTCCGTCGCTTTTTTCCGGCTTGGGGAAAAGCCGGAAAAAAGCGTCTAGACTGGCCCGATAATCCGGAATAAAGCCCTATTCCGGAGGATCTCTTATTCAAAGTAGGAATAAGAGATCCTCCGGAATAGGGCTTTATTCCGGAGTATCGGGCCAGTCTAGACGCTTTTTTCCGGCTTTTCCCCAAGCCGGAAAAAAGCAGCGGACATCTTTATTTAAATCCCGCAGGGGATATTTAAATCCCCCGCGGATTTCCCTATTCTGAAGTTGAAAATTAGCATGCCCCTTTCGGAAAAGGGGCCAGTGTAGTCATAGCCAAAGAGCCATGTGTGGACTGGGAAGATGGAGTTCTTTCAAAAGACGAGGAAAGAGGAAAAAGCACAGGTGCCCTGGTGGTCACTTCGTCTATAGTAATCACAGCTTAAATGCGAGATAGTGTCCATTCAGGGTGGATACTCTCTTTCAGAGGACATTTTTTTGGAAGACCTCTTCCGGAAAAGATTCTTCCGAAAGAAGCCTGTAGTCTAGATTTAGCCCCAGATAAGGTGATCACTTCAAGCAGGAAGTATCAAAAAACTCATAATAGTATGGCAAGAGTTGGTAACACTGGGAATTGGAATTCTGATGCACAGAGTAACACAGCCAGCAGAGGTGAACTCTTCCAACCCACCTAGAAGGGATCATACATTTTAAGATATCCAGAGGGGGTTTTATAAATCCATAATTGGTCTTGTTCAAAACAGGAGCAGTTAATGCCTATATATTCATATGCTAAAAAACATTGCTTTGAACAGGACTAAGTAATGGAAAGCAACTAATGACCTCTCTCTCTCTCGTATGTTTTAATGGATAAAGAATTTCACTATGCTCATCTCAGATTCCTAACAGATTGAGGTTCCCAATACACTACTAGAGCAATTTAATTAACTTCTGGGGCACATCCAATCTAAACAGAAAAAAAAAAACATTGGACCCAGCCCTGTTCCCATTGAAGTCAATGGTACAACTGCCAATGACTTCAATGAGAGCAGAAGCAGGCCAATTGTTGACTGGGAACTGCTGCCTGCTTGCTTATCAATGCATGGCAGACTAACATGTATCGTTAGTGTTAAAGGGAGTTACCAGAGGAAGTCTCTGAATATTTATGGGACAGGAGGTTTTTTTTTTTACAGATTTATACTGATAGGTCAGCAATGGGAACACATAACATTTTCCTATACATTTTAGATGAATCTGTGACAATGCACAACACTCAATAGATACCTTTTGACTCCTGAGTTATATAAGTAGACTGATGAAGAAATAGAAACATAACATATCAACATATCATAGAATTCCAAAAATATTGATTAGTCTTTAAGACCCAAATCAGTCTGCATAGAATTTCAGTGATGCCACTGGGGCTTATTATATATACATCTGTTCACATCAGATCAGCTCCATAATTTCCCACAAATTTTCTATGAGGTCAAATCAGCTCTGATTATATACAAATAGACCAATTAAATTATATACTGTATCTAGTTTCACAGAGATTTTAATTAAAGTCCGATCAGCAAGATTTTAGACCACATACTTAACACTATCTACAGATCATTTTGTTAATTTTTTTTAAAAAAAACCTTAATTCTGTCCATCTCATCAATAGTCTATGGAATAGGCAAGGTGTACATATACTCAAAGGGTCTTATTCTGATACACCTTTCACTGGTTTCACATTTTGAAACTCCATGAACTTAAGTGAAATTACTCCTGATTTTCATCAGTGTAATACATCAGGCCCTAAAATAACTGATGTCAAAGTGCCTGTCATGACGTGGTCACTGTTTAGTTTATTAATTTAGACCCAGTCCTACAAAGATTTACACAGGTGCTTAATTCTATGCACTGTAAGTAGCCCCATTGTGGACAAGTGCGTAAAGTTAAGAATCTGCATAAGTCTTTGCAAGAGTGGGGACATATATTGTACTTTTTAGAGGATGGAAAAGAGCTAAATATGCACCCTTTATACTGTTACGAAAATATTGTCCAATTCCTCCTCTCATCCAAAGTTCTAGGCTTCACTATTTCCCTCTGTATCCTTTGTACATCCCTCTGTGCATAGGTGTTATGGGGACATACATTCATCAATCACCATCAATTATGAATTTCGTTCCTTTTATTAGATGTTACTTATGGCCTTACAGCCCAGTTCGGTAGCCCTTGCTCATTCACGCAGCCAGTACATAGTTCTATTGAAATCACCCAAGCAGTACATGGGCAAGGAGTAAGGGCTGTTTATAGGAGTTGCAAGACTGTGCTTTTTATTGCTTACGCTAATGTTCAGTTCACCTGCATCTGTTCTGCATCCTCATGAGGAGTTAATAGAAAGTTTAAGCAAGGCATTATTAAATTAAAAGGCTGCAATCCACTACACAAGGACCTAAGTAGGACTCTGGAGTATGTGTCTGTTAATTTTAATGTGCTGTCTCAAAGTACAGAACTCTGGACATTTCTAGCATCATATTTAAAACATGATACATTTACTAATACGTGATCTGATGCATTAATGGACAAAATTAAGTTACAGGTATGAATTTTACATAAAATGGATTAATATTATATGTCATAGAGGAATTTTAAATACTCCATCTCCATAAATTTTTAATAGTTATGTGCTCTAATTTAATGTTCTACAGCAATTGCTTTTCTTGATCTCCTAGCCCCCCTTTGCACTCAAGTTTGGATTTTTTTTTCTTTAAATCAACCTCTCTCAAAATACTCCATATGTCTAAGTGTACCGGAAGGGAAGCAGTGAATGGTTTTTAAAACATACATTGAACGAGGCTAGAAATTGCAAACAGCATCCCACCCCTGTCACTGGTAGAAATAGCTGATGATGATGATTAAGCACTCGGAAGAATAAATGGACAGCAAAAAAAAAAAAGTGTGGACGGTACAATGACATTAATAGTCTCCTATTGCTTCTTGCAAGCTTCAGAGATAGATCAGAGGAGGGCATCATGCCACTGCTCCACAGCAGTAGGGAGTGCTCTGGGTTCCGATGGGAATGGCAGGATTCAGCAGCCTCATTCAGCAGAACAGTGAATTCCATTCGCATTCCCGCAGTTCTCCCTCACTAGGAACTTCTCTCTCCGTCTCCTCCTCCCTCCTCTCCCTTGGGTACAGCAGCAGTCTCCCCCCAACCCTAGACCCCCACAGCATTGACGGAATGGAGCGTCCACGCCATTGGCCAGAGCGGCGTTCCATGGAGGGAGGAGGCGGCAGTGATTGGCTAAGGCGCGGCGCTCTGCACCCCCTCCTCCCCTCGCCTTTGCACACATTTCCCCTCCCCCGCGCGCCTCTTGCCACCTCCTTTCCCCGGCCCCGGCAGCGCGAGCCCCGCCTGTCTGTACCCCGTGCTGCATATATATATAGGGCGGCGCTGCAGCCGGGCTGAGCAGAGGCGGCTCGGGCTGTCGTGGGAGCGAAGGGGAAGGGTAGTGAATGCCTAGCCTAGGTGGCGGGGTTTTCTTTGCACGGTCCGGCATCCCCTCTGGCAAAGCCCGGAGATTGTATCCAGAGACGGGCTGCCCCTCCTTGCTCGCGGTAGGAAGGGATCGCTGCTTTGGCTGAGCGCCGCTTGTTGCATCGCGGGCGGTACGCGGCGCGCCTCGGTGCCCGAGGGGAGCTCTCCCTGTGCACACCATGAAAGCGGTCAGTCCCGTCCGCCACCCCAGCAGGAAGGCGCAGGCTGGCTGCTGCGGCGGCGCTGGGGGAGGCGGCGGAGGAGGCGGCGGCGGCGGCGGCCAGCTGGCGCTGCGCTGCCTGGCCGAGCACGGCTGCAAGGGGGCCCCGTCGGGCGAGGAGCCGGCCTCGCTGTGCTTGCAGTGCGATATGAATGACTGTTACAGCCGGCTCAGGAAGCTCGTGCCCACCATCCCGCCCAACAAGAGGGTCAGCAAAGTGGAGATCCTGCAGCACGTCATCGACTACATCCTCGACCTGCAGCTGGCTCTGGAGACGCACCCGGCTCTGCTCCGGCAGCAGCAACAGCCGCCGCCGCCGCTGCACCCGGGGACCTGTCCCGCGGTCACGCCCCGGACTCCGCTTACAGCCCTTAACACCGACCCGGTAAGCGCCGTGCCTGGGCGAACGCGAGGCGCCGCTCCGGCCGGGCTAGCCCACGTTGGGCGGGCGGGTGCGCGCAGAGCACTGGCCACCCGGCTGGGGAATGCAGGACTCGTGCCGGGCGCTCCCTGCCGGGGTGTGGCCGGGGCAGCCCAGACTCCCTGCAGCCGCGGCCACGGACAGATCGTCCCGTTAGGCGCGGGAGGGGGGGGGACTCGGGGTGTGCGCGCTCCGCGGGGTGCCTTGGAGAGACCCGATCGCGCCCCACGGGCGTCAGTGGGAGCCTTGCTCTGGGGTGTAGTGCGAGCAGGATCTGGCCCTAGGCACGCACATATAGCCCCCAGGCGGCACACTTCTGTTGCACAATGCAGTCAGTGCGTGCGTGTGTGCACATTACACACCGCCCCCCAATACTGAGCTATGCGCGCGTGTGTGTAGACATAGACACACACGTATCCACTTGCTGTGTAGTTACAGCCTCTCAAGGGAGTACTGTCCAGTCCGTGTGCGCGCACCCAGGGGTGCGTACGATACTCATGTACACACTGGCGGGTACTATAGCTGGTATGGGGGCGTGTACACCTTTAACTATTTCAGTGCTGTATACATAACGTCTGGAGGAAGGAGCTTTCTTCTCCGGGATCCACCCTTAGCAGCAGATCCCGAAGGCCGGAAAGAAACCTGTGACTCTCCCAGCTGGAGAAACGTGGGCGATGGATGGGGGGTGGATGGGGCTGTCGGACTGTGACACAACCTGTCTGCCCGGACCACGCTGAGAATGTAGCCATCAG